TGTGACCACAGTTCTTTGGGATCACATCATCAATGTTAAAAGTGGTGGAGGAAAAATTCTGATAGGGGGTCTAATTACCCACATTGCCACGTTATATGGTTTTGTATGCAATGGTGCACAAAACCACAGGACCCTTCTTGGCCTTCAATTTTTAAAGAATGCTGGCGATGTGACCCTCTCACATATCGAACATGATGGCCTAGAAATCTACAATTGGCACATCAAACCAGGCCAAGAACTATTCTACCCCTTCCCTTCCGAAAACCTCCCGCTTAACATCATCGATCACCAAATCGGTGATGGACACCACTATTGTATGCCCGGGGGAATTCCACCACACTTTGCACCCCCAGAAAATGAGGCGGAGGACAATGAAGCCGCCAATGAACAGCCTGCCCTTGAAGCACCACCCATCATTCTTGAACAACCTCGCCCACAACCCCATGCTCATCAATACTCTCCATTTGAGCAAGAAATGCTAAACAGCATGAATGCTCTCAACCTCAATTACACCCAACTTCGGGAGGAAGTCGGGCTGTACAGAAATGAGCAAAGGCACAGCTTCGAGAGGATTGAAGAACAAAGGCGAGAAGATTGGCGCCGATATGAAGAGGATCAAAGGAGGACTTTTGGGCCTATCTACTCCTATATCGCGCATCAGGGAAACTTCACCTCCATGACCACTCCTCCTCCGGCACCTTCATGGTACAGCCCCACTGAATGGGGTTATTTTGGTGGCTCAACCTCTAGTGGTGGAGGCGGGGAAGACGGATACATCGGGGATCATATGGACGAGGATACACAGTACAGAGGCTATGGAGGAGTTTTCGATGGCGGAGATGCGGGCGGGCACTAGGGACTGTGCCACGGACTAGTGGTGGGGGAGATCTTCCCGGTATGTTCACATTCACACTCTTTATTCTTGTTATTTAAAAAAAAACAAAAAAATAAAAAAAAATAAACGAAAGCTTGTTAAGTTGAAAACCCACAAAGGGCAGCTTAAGCAAAAATAAAGCAAAAATAGGAGTGAGTTTGTGAGATAAAAAAATAAAAAAAAAAGAATGTGGGAAGCTGGGTTGAAAACCTGAAAGGGCACCTAGGCAAAATGAGAGAATGAGAGAAAGTTATTTCTTTTGATTTTGCAGGATCCTGAGGGCGAGTACTATAGAGACTTCGGATTGAAATTGAAGACCCATATTTACTCTTTTGATTTTGGAGACGCTTTATGTATTTGTTATAAAAACTTGTGGATGTTGGTGTTGCTACTCTTGTCAATTAAGGACCCCTTGGACAGAATATGTTTTACTCGAGACTAGTAAAAATTCAAGTGTGGGGGTGTTTGATATGCACTAGTTTATAGTGCATAAACGTATGTTTTTATGTTGATTGAGTGTGGATTTTCCATCACTTTTAGTTAGTTTGTAAGTACTTGTTTTATTTTGTTTGTAATTGTTCTCTCCTTCTTTTTCGGAGTTTTAGAATAGTGATAGAGTTTGTAGCAAGGAAAAAGGGAGAAAAACTGAAGACAAAAAGACCCAGGAGCACAAAAACCCGACCGGGTCAGACCTTGAACCCGGTCGGGTCAGTTGAGGAACAGATCTAAGAAGGAAAAGTAAGACCCGGTCGGGTCCCATACCCGACCCGGTCGGGTCAGACATGACCCGGTCGGGTCAGACATGACCCGGAACACCAGAACATGCTGAAGATCACAAAGATTTTGGAAAAAATCTGATTTAGACCAAACCCGGTCAGGTCCCTCACTTGACCCGGTCGGGTCTGACTTGACCCGGACAAATTAACGTGCTGGAACAATGAAACGTGGGAGATTATCTGATTTTGACCGGTACCCGGTCGGGTATGTACCTATACCCGGTCGGGTACCCGGCCAAAGGTGTTGAAAAACACCTATAAATAGCACTCTTTTTCTCCTCTTAAAATCATCCCTTCTTCCATACTCTTTAGCTCAGTTTAGAATAGCCTTTCTTTATATTTTTCTAGCTATGTTTAGTCTCCAAATGAGGAGCTAAACTTCCATTCTTGGTTTTGCTCTTGAAGCTTGTTGATTATTAAAGTTGTGAGTTATTTTCTTAACTTCTTCTCTTGATTATTAATTCTTCCCTTAATCTCATTCTATATTAATGTTGGAGGGTTGCTAAGTGACGATTAGTTAACGTTCCGACATTAATTACTACTAGAAACGATCAACGAACCGATGGTTAATCGTTGGTGGTTTCACAAGTAAGTAACTTCGGTTTATTAATGCACGGTCGTGGTTAATAGACTTAAGAGGGATCAATTTTGTTGGTTAAACCGAAACCGTTGTGTTAAGGTTATCAATCTCAATTGATTTCATCAAGGAGTTAAAAAGATTGAATGCTACTATTATATCGGTATAAAGCGTTGTTCTATATTTGATTAATAGTAAGGGTTATTAATGAACGGTCGTTGTTAATAACTACCCTCGATGAATTGGAGATACTCCTCGATTGAGTATTCGAGAGGGGATAAGTTATAGATATACCAAGGATCGACTAAAATATATCAACAAGTGGAAAGTAGCAAAGCCAAGTCCCTTTTATTCTTGAATTAAACACATATAGGTTGTTCATCTTAGTTTTTAATTAAATTAAATCACTCAAACCAAAACCCCCCTTTTTATTCATTAAGTTCATAAAAAGAGAATTATACCTTTCCCTGTGGATACGAACTCTACTACGCTATACTACGTATAAGTGTTAGTATTGAATTTATTTTGACGCACCGTGACAAAGTGCACGTCATCAACCCTATTAAAGCATTTAAGTGATTCCCGAAGCCTTAGTTGTTGTTATTATTCATCATAAACTTGAAATTAGTTAACAATTATCTTCTTGAACAAAAAGTGAAAAACCAAATATATAAAACACAAATCAAAATCCCTACACTTTATTCATTTCTTCATTTAAAGTTATCTACTCTCGGACTTGAATTAAACAACGTTTCCTTGTGGATTCCACTCGTTATTTTACCAGAATTTATTACTATATCAGCACTTGTACACTTGCAAGTTTAGCCCGATCACGTCGTCTTCCAAGCCCTAACGACACAGTTTCTCCATGACGGCGATTCAAGAGGGAGACAGATCATCAACACCCATCTTCCCCCATCACCTGAATCTGGGATTCTCCATGCCACAACAAGCAAAGCCTTCCGCTCAATCCTTGGTTTTCCGGCTACACTACAAACCAGCATAATTTGTTCACTTGACAACAAACACCTACACCACTGCTAGGTTAACTCCACTTTTTTTTAGTGTTATGTACCCTTAAAACTTACATTTATGAATGTTTTGGGTAATTTTAATCTAAGTACGTAGTATTATATTAAAAATCACTCTTTTACTAAACACTTCCACTTTATCCTTTTTAAACAAATCGTTTTATCTTAAAACACTATCAACTTTTACTATTAATCACTTTTTCAAGATCACTACAATAAATCATTATTCAAAAGTGGAAACAAACGTAAATATTACTCTAACATGATCAAATTTTCTCGAAGTATAAGGGCCTATGGGGACTCTCTTCTCAGCTCCTTAAATCTCATCTCTGCCTATAAGTAATTAAGAATCTTCTTGAACTGTCAAAATAAAACTAAAGATAGCAATTGAGTGAACATTAGAACATCTTCAATGGGATGTCTAAATCCTCTTACACTTGGTCCAAAAGGTGGAATCTCCCAACCCAGGAGCCCCCCACTCAGACTCGACAGGATGGTGGGGGAATTAATCACGGTGACTCAGTCAGCAAAGCGACGATATGCCTTATACACGTGCGCATCAGAGGTCTAGCCTTATTTCAGGTTCTATAACCTCCACACGGCCGCTGCGGGTTTCGAAACTTAATTTTCCCATCACTCGACCAACTGAGCTACCCGTGCGAGTCTAAATCCTCTTACACATTATTATATGTGGGTATCGTTTTTATCTCACATTTTTATGTGTAGGACTTGCATATTCCTATATTCATTTTAATTTTCAAATTTTGTATCATTTTTAACTCACTTTTGTGTACTTTTATTCCTCGAGTCTCGTGTAAAAGCCATGAGTGAACATTGTCGTAGACGTTATTGCCTACATTTTATTTTCTACCTCTCTAATTTGTTTCATTTTTTTGTATCATTTTATCACTATCTCTTTCATCCGTCACATAGGATGAACTTCACTCCACTATACTATCATTACATTTTTGTGTTTGCTTAGGATGTTTTTACTTGGACTGTAATTTGCTGGTCTGGTCTGGTCTGATCTGGTCTGGTCTGAATTGGTCTGGTCTGGTCTGGTCTGGTCTGATTTCTTTGTATTTTTATAACTATTCAAGTCTGGTCTGGTCTGATCTGGTCTGGTCTGGTCTGGGACGAATTAGAGTCCAAGTAAAAACATCCTTACTTGTCCAGTGTCCTTTACAATGTTACATTACATTAGATTATACTCATCATTTATTGTTCCAATTTAAATATAGTGCTATTGGTTCAATTCATTTTTGTAGTATCTTCATTTTGGTTCGCACCTAAATATGTTACATGCCCTACGTTATACTTGCTCTATCCTACATAGTGGCTGCTATTAAATCTACTTCTTAAATCCGCTTTGGGTGAATGTTTATGAATACTTTAAAGTGCTACAAATCATTTCCAAAAATTATAACTACTACTTCTGCTTTTAAAATAGTGGACGTAAAATCAGAATGAATTCCAAACATTTGACAGATTAAAATTTTATTTGGGTAAATAAATTCATAACAATGTCATTTTATGATTTCTTTGATCGAGATGTATTTTTGAAAAACATCCATTTATATTTATTATCCTAAAAAGTGCACGTGCAGGAAAGTTGGAAATTGCACGGATGGAGTCATCCAAACCAAATGAAATAATTAATTGCCACTGAAACCCACGATGCCTCATTGAATGCTATCAAGCAATGATGAAAAAGAATGGGGAGGAGCTGCAAGAGGCTGGGCTATTAATGTGTCATATGGTACAGTGTCTCCATTCTATATGTTTCCTCTCCTCTGCCATTTCATGGCCCATTCTTCATGTGCTCTATGTGTACCATTGTACTCCCTCCGTTTCTGAAACAAGTTCCACCTTTCCTTTTCGGGCAGATTCAAAATTAAGTTCCACCTTCAAACATTTCCTTATTTGGCAAATTATCTACATCAAAACAGTGTCAAATAGTGTCAAACAGTGTTTAAACAGTGCCAAACAGTTTTTAAACAGTGCCAAACAGTGCACTCAAATTTATTTTCTTAATATGTGTGAAGTCAAATGTGGAACTTGTTTCAGAAACGGAGGGAGTATCTATTAAAAAAGAATGAAAGAAAAATTCAATTTCACCAGGTGTGCATTCTAGTATGCGCTTGTATATACATTTAAAAAGGAATAAAACCATGCCATCAATTAGCTTCATGATTTTTTAATAAAAGTCAATTAAATTCATATACTCTTTACCGTATCAATGGTGGATGTTGTGGCTATGGAAGTCGGGATGGCGGAGGAGGCGGTGGATATAGAGGTGGTGGTGGTGGATATGGAGGAGAGAAGGTGGTGGAGGCCAGCATGGGTGGATCTTGCAACCGAAAGTTGGGTGTTCAAAAAAAGTCATGTTCAAAATATTTTGCACAATAATATTATTTGATTCCAAAATTGAAGAAATGTAATTTTTTCAACAACAAAAAACTAACAAAAACGGTTAAAGGTTAAAAAAATATTATACAAAAAATACACATATAAATTATTACATCAATTTTTTATATGTATTTTTACATTTTATTTTCAAAATTTCGGGTGTTCGCCTGAACACCCCTGACTCACCGAAAGAGGAATATTTAATTCCAAAGCGGTCCAACTCAACTATTCGGTGATTCTCTCTCTTGTGATAGCTCCCGGTTTAATATTCAATATAGTGAGTTTTATCACAATTTTCCCCAGATCCCCTGATCTTCTCTGGGGTAAAAAAAATAAGAAAGAGGAAATTAGGTATAAAATGAAAATCAGTTAGTAATTAAAAAGAGAGGAAAAAGCGGCACGGTCGAAACCAAAAGCAACTGGAACTACGTACCCAACTGGCGCTTGTGATTTGTGATGTGTTCAATGAAATTAAACTCCAACCCGCCCGTGGCGGATTTTGCAAACAAATGCTGGATATTCAAAATATTGTTCCAACAATTAAAAATATACACCACAAAAAAAATGAGATTAACACCGATTTGACACGAATTGTCTAATGATTTTGTGTCAAATAGCTCATGCTAAAATGCTTTTGACACGAATTTGGCATATCACTGTCAAATCATTCATGATTTTTTTTAAATCCCTGCCCAAAGACCATGACAATTCCTTTATTTTGAAGTGATTTTTTTTTTCAACAACAAAATACTAATAAAAATGGTTAAACATAAGAAATATTATTACATAAAAAAATACAATATATATACAAATTATTGTATCAATTCTACACGTCTTTTTACATTTTATTTCAAAGTTTTGGGTTTGGGTGTTCACGTGAAAACCATTGAGCAAATACCATCCGCCACTGCAACTAGCGCCGAACACCTCTAACCGGCTTAAGACGCATAAAATCTGTAGAAAATAACATAGTGTTAGATATTTTTGGGTTGAAATAAACACATTTGAAAGGTATGACTCAAAAAATCATCCCAATCTGATCTAAATAGTACTTCCACCCTCTCATAGTGATATATTGTTAATCAAAATAGTACTTCCACCCTCTCATAAAACTTGATCATAATGACTTTTCTTGACAAGTGATGTTCAAGTTTGACCAATGATTATATTTTTTTAAATATGAAATTATTTAAAATATGAAAATATTCTTGGTTAAAAATACTTTCAAAAAGTCTAAAAGTTATAATTTTCACATAAATATAATAAATAAATTTATTGACAAGGATTTAGACCCAGACTAGACCAGACCAGATCGACCAGGTTTGAACATTTATAAAATACACATAGATAAGACATTTACCAGACCATACTACATCAGTTCAAACCAGAAATTCTCGTCCAAGTAAAAACATCCTTATTATCACTAACCAAGAACAACTCAAATTGACTAAGTTATAAAATGAAAAAAACCATTATGGTATCAAAATGGGAGGGAAAGAGTATATGTTTATCTATTCTAGTGGAAATTTTATAAAATGAAAAAAACTACGTAGGATTATGGTATCAAAATGAGAAAAACCAAGGGATGAGTTTCGCCCTTATTTATTTTTGGACTTTGCACACATTTTTTGAGGTCTTCTGATCATTCATTTCCTTTACACTTTCATGGGTCAGTTAATTATTTAATGAGAAAAGAGTCAAATAGAGCCCCCTACGGTAAGGAAATTGTCAATTAAGGTCACCAACGCAAATATCGCCCAATTATAGCCATCAACGAAAAAAAACGGGCAAATCTTCGTATTACCCGGTAAACGATCGGTTGCCAGTAAAAACGTGATTGTGGCATCTGACGTGGCTATAATAAATGTAAAGGGGTTGCTGATGTGTAGAATAAACTTAACCCTATTTAAAAATATAACCTGCATCAACGATGTTCTCTTCTTCGCTGCTCTCTTCTTCGCAGATGGGCGGAAGCTCGCCCTAACTCGCAACTCTCTTCTTCGCGGTCTCCTCTTCGCTGCTCTCTTCTTCGCAGATGTGACAACAATAATGTCTTCTTCGTCTACCTCAAGCATACGAAAAAACACACTATCTACCCTAAATTACGAGCCGGCGTTTTACTGTCTTTGTGGGATGAAAGCCCCTCTTTGCAAAGGACGTGAAAGTGGACGATTGTTCTACGGCTGTCAACAATTTAAGGTAAATCTTCTTACAAATTAATTATGTGGTGATTTAGTTTCACTGATTTGGTTTGTTTTCTGAGTTTGCTTGATGTGCTAATTATTTTAGCACGACCGTGGATGTGGTTTCTTTGTGTGGAAGGATGCTATGGATGTTACACATGCTCACACAGAGTACCGGAATTTAAGAGATGACGCAGCTCATGGTGGTGGTCTGTTTGAGTTACAGAGGGCTAACAATTCAATGGGTCAACAAATTATTGTGCTTGGAAGAGATATTGCTTATCTTAGGGGAGTAGTCCAAACAGAGGGAAAACAAAACAAAATGTTAAGGTTGTTTGTTGGTTGTTGGTGTTTTGTAAGCACAACAGTGGTTGCTATGGCTTATTTCAGTTTAAGGAAGTGTTGTATGTAATAGGTGTGTTAGTTATGTTGGTATGACTTATTTCAGTTGTATGTTATAGGCTGTTTACTTCTGCAAGGTATTTAATTTGGTTTGGGAAGAACTTTTGATTGATAAAGTGTACTGTGTAATGTGTTTCAGTTGTATGCTATTTCGGTTATGCTATGGCTTATTTCAGATTTTCAGTTGTATGCTATTGGTAAAACAAGAAATTATGATGTGTACTGTGTTTGGGAAGAACTTTTGATTGATCTTGGAAGCAGTTGGGTGTCCATATCATTTGACAGCCTGATACATGCATCTTCCGATACATACATTCTGGATGCAGTTGGGGAAGCCTCAAAGCCTCATTAAGACACACAAAGAGAGTGATCAAAACACACATGGTTGTAATCAAACAATACATTGTACTACACCTAAAAGTCAAAACAATACATTATCCCTAACAACATAAACATGACAGAAACATGACATTACATAAAATCATTTTGCCATAAAGAGACAATTCATTGTATACAAGCGGAAGAGACATGGTCATTGTGGTATTTCACATCAGCAAACCTATCCCCAAAACCATAATATTGTTTGGAATTCATCCAACTTCACAAAAAATATGACCATCACATGCTAATAGTTACAATTTAGACAAAATATGGACAAATGTTTTTAAATGCTGCAAAAAATGTGTCCACATTCAGCATGCAATGCCATCCCAAAAACATTCTTCCTATTAAACTGTCTTCAACTCGTTCCTTCACAAACCACTGCTTCTCCACGCTGCATAGGCTACACAAACATATTCCAGATTATTATAAACTGAAACCACTTAATGTAAAAGCCACTTAATTAACTCAATAAAGATGATATGGACAGTTAATGACTAAACTTAATTAAAAAACTTACATTCAAAACTGTGGCTCCACTTTCTGGATTAGTGTAAATACCATATCCAGATTCACCCACTAGAACATGCCTTTTTCCTCTTCCCCTAGTTCTCCCCCTCCCCCTACCAACTTCATTTAGACTCCCAGTAGGTGTAGTATTACAGTTTTTGCTTTTGCCTCCTCTCCCCCTTCCCCTCCCCTTCCTCTTCCTCTTTCAGTGGGGATGGTACTGCCAGGTGGATGGTTTGTTGGACAAAAGAGTCGGTTATGTCCTTGCTCCTTACACTTTGAGCAAGTCATAATTCTACCTTTTCTGGACATTGTTGTTCCTGATGGCGCCTCAGTCTCCTCACGCACTCTTTTTTTTTGGCCTCCCGGACATTTTCTTGGGTAGAGGAGCATGTATTTCTTCATGTTGGGATGTGGGCCAGAAAAGTTCACCGTTTATGGGTTGTAGAGTATGTTCATATGTCCTCTCATACATTTGTTTAGAGTAGCAACTATCAACAAATTCTTCCGGATTCTTTCCATGATCAAGGATGGCACAAATTGCATATGCGCAAGGAATCCCTGAAAGATCCCACCTTCTACATGAGCATGATTTTCCTTCAAGCCTGACTTTGAATTGGTGTCTTCCCATCTTTATCTCTTACCCGTCATCTCCATTGTAATCCACATGCCAACCGGAACTGGCCATGATATTCTTGTTCAGTTTCTTCTTGATTATAGACCCAAACTGACCTGCCATATATAATCCATTATGAAAACAGTATATGTTCACAAAAGTAATTACTTAACCCCCCTAGTCATTCATACCTGGCCACCTTTCAACAGCCTTTTTCTTCCTTGCAATTCGCTTCATCATCCCCACTCTTATATCTTCCAGCATTGGAATTAGGGGTTTTTCTCTGCATTTGACTAAAGTACTGTTGAAAGCTTCACAGAGATTGTTTTCAACTGAATCACACTTGACTGAGGGTCTAAAAAATGCTTTGCACCACAAATGCATGGGATATTTCTGCAATTCAAGACAAGCTTCAGAATCTACTTTCTCCGACTCTTGAATATTTCTATGGAGTTCTTCATGAGATGGTGACTTTGCTATCTGCCAAAACAGTCTTTTAAGCATAAGGCCTCTATGATTTTTGCTCCAATTGGCATGTATATGCCTAGCACAATTTCTGTGCTCAATGCCAGTAAGTACCTCGTCTATGACATTTGAAAGACCCTGCAAATGAATACCAACAAATCATTATAAATGGTTATACAAAGATACAATTTCTGTTCAGAATGACACATGAGATGAGAGTTATATAGGTTGCTAACCTTCTGTTGGTCACTTGTAATGGTCCACAAGTCAGTCCTATCAATATTCAAGTCATCCTTTAGTAGTTGCAGGAACCATCTCCACGATGAGTTATTCTCAATTTCAACAACAGCCCAAGCAATTGGGTACATCTGATTGTTGGCATCCCTGCCAACGGCTGTCAAGATTTCCCCCTTTAATTGACCTTTCAAGAAGCAACCATCTACCCCAATCATTTTTCTACACCCTTCTAAAAATCCTTTTTTCACAGCTCCAAAGCAGAAGTAAATCCTCTGGAAAATAGAAGGCCCATCTGGAACAGCTCTTACTGTTTTAATAACAACCGTACTGTCAGGAATTGACTTCAAACATTCCTCTGCATAATTCCTGATTCTCTTAAACTGATCCTTGAAAGCATTCTTAGTTTTTTCTTGTATTCCCCTTAATGCTCTAGCCACCATACTAAGAGAAACATTGACCTTATGTTCTGATTTTATAAGACCTTTTAATTCAACACAGCCTAAACAAGGATTTTCAAGCACTTTCTCTTCATAAGTCTCCTCAATCCATTTCTGGCTAACAAGCCTCAACTTAAACTTCATATTACACATGTGAGAGGTATCCAAAACCTTGACTTGATAACATCTAAGACTTTTCTCCCAACTAGCAGTACACCTAAAGGGGCAATTTGGGGCACATTTATAACGCACTCTTTCGGGATCATTTCTGACAAACCTTATATCTCTTTTCTCATGAATAGCATATCTTATCATGGCATTCTTGAACTGTCTTCCATTCTCAAATAGCATACACAACTCAATGTTAGGAGGCTCTGAGTCGGGGTTATAAGATGCATACCTGGGCTTCTTGGCATTCTTGAACTGTCTTCCATCTTCTGAGTCATGATCAGACAGTAAGCTAGACGGGTCATCTGAATCATATTCCAGGCTTGTATGATCTGAATCACTGGCAGTGTATTGTTTTGTCTCCCTGTGGGGTCTTCTTTTCTTATAAGTTTCTTCATTGTCGTCTTCCATTTCAACATTCACATCATGTTCATCACCCTCACCCCGTTCACTGTCATTCTCTTCGTTTTCAGACTCAATGACCCTCTCACTCTGTGTATTTTCAGTAGGTGGTCCGGGTAATGGCAGAACATCGATTAACTCAACTTCATCCAGCCCGTGCTCAACAAATATGTCACATTTTCCATAACGTGTACTCATACGAATTAAGTTCAAGGTGGATTCATCATTGAAAAGCTCGTGTAAATTTGTGTCATCACATTTCTTAAAGTAAAGGCCGTTGATATTCCCATAGCTCCCAGCTTGCAGAAACTTCAACAAATGTGGGTATGAAATTAAATCTGGATCAATTGCTATAGTATCTACGACCCCACCCTTGTACACACAATCAGGACTGTTTATGAAATTCCCTCCATGGTGTATAATAAGTTCAACTTTGTCAAACATCCTGTTGGTCAATGAAATGGTTATTTTTGTTTGTAGTGAAAATTTTCTCTGTAAAAATGTAAAAGCGAAGGAAAAACACTGTTTATAAAACACCGTGCGGGCTGTACTAACCTTTACGAGGAAGAAGACAACGGCGTGCGTGCGAGCGTAGGGGGCGTAGACCATGTGCGGACTTCCTTTGTTTGATACTCTCCGTTTCTCTGTTAGACTCCCTTCTCTTCTACTGTACGATTACAAACCCTAGTTGAAATAATTAGCAGACGGATAAATAATCAAGTCTTTGGGGGTACTCAACTTACATGGATAAAATGAGCCACGTTGGATGCCAACTAAGCACTTAAGATGCAAGCCGGTCGTTTACCGGGTAAAACGACCATTTGCCCCATTTTATTTCGTTTATGGGTTTAATTGGGCGTGTTTTCCGTTGGTAGCCTTAATTGACATTTTTCTTATAGTAGGAGGCCCTATCTGACACTTTTCGAATTTGTAGTCATGAAATGGTCAAAACATGACTTACCATATCATAGGAATTAACATGAATTTTAGCAATCCAATATATAAGTAAATTTGCACATACATACATGATACTACCTTCGTTCCTATTAAAACTTCCAAATAGATTTGACACAAAGTTTAAGATAGTGGGTATTGTGTGGTGGAGAATTGTGCAGAGGAGAGAGAAATGTGTAAGAAATGTTGTGAACCACAAATTCTTTACTAAAAAAGGAAAGTGAAAGTTTTAATTGGAACGAACGAAAAAGGAAAGTTGGAAGTTTATTTAAGAACGGAGGGAGTACATGTTTTGATAACAATAATGCTATATCGTTTTTTGATTCATTTGGATGCACATTATTAAGATTATTATTATTATTATTATTATTATTATTATTCTAAAAAGAACGTATTATATACTCCCATAGTCCCTTAAAGGTTTGACAAGTTTGACCGGCACGTAAAATAATAAAGTAAAAATTGTGTGGTAGATATTTGTGCAGAGGAGAAAAAAATAAAAGGAACCACAAATTGATTGATTGAAATGAAAACTGACAAAGTTTTTGAGACAACAAAAAATAGAAAGTTGGTAAATTTATAAGAGACGTAGGGAGTACATTTCATTTCTGATATTAGATGATATTCTCATTTTTAGACACTAAATTTACAGTGTTAGGTACTGAGCAGTGGATGACATTCGATCCTGTCTGCGGTGCTGCATAAAGAGGTCGAGCATGTACATAGTTGCAGGGCAGGGCAGGGCAGGGCAGGAGTATCTATGTAGTCTGACAAATACGATCGAATAAAGTATGTGCACTGAGCCCAAAAAGGATTTATCCCATCAACAGATGGAATGTATATACTATACGGAGTATATTGTATTTGTACAATTGTACGTGCAGCCTTGACGACCTAATTCAACTAGCTAGCTATGACGTACAGTGCACTTAATGTATAAAGACCATCCATACTGCACATACATACTCCCCGAATGTGTTTTTTCTTAAAGAAA